CACCTGGGGCTTTGGCACCATACAACCGGTAGGTAGACGGTCTGGGAGAGGGTTGAGGGACTTCAAAGATAAGATCTTATATAAACATATTACTTCTCCACTAATTATAATGGTCATGATGACAACAACAATGTTGATGATTATGGTGGTAATTAACAATGGTTACTGAGTGCTTCTGTGGGGCCATGCATTACTCTAAGCACTTTATATAAATTATCTCAATTAATTTTCATAACACCCCATGAGGAGGTAGATAATATCATTATTCCTTTTTTAGAGAGGAGGCAATGGAAGCTCAGAGAGGGTAGGTAATTAGACTAATGTCACACAGCTAATAAGCAGAAAGCCAGAATTCAAACCCAGAGCCACCCTTCTCAACTGCTCCACCACCTGCCTAACCAGAGGATGCAGAACTTAATGCGACTCTGCGTGGCGTAGGACAACAGGAAGAGAGACGCAGAGGAGAATGAATGAGCTCAGCCCCACAGAAGGAGTAGGCAGATTTCCTACCATACGGTAGCAGGGAGACTAAAGAGCAATTTCTTCTCGGGCCTGACCCAGCAGAGGGGCAGCAGCATGGAGCCAGGGGCTTGGACAAACTACCACATGGACCAGAACTTCCAACTCCAACATTCCTCAGGAGTCCGTCTGCGACAGACTGCCCTGGTTCCCCAGTCAGGTCTGGGGTGACCTGACTCCACCATCTCTCCCTCAGCTCCTGTCACACTAGAAATTATAATTTTTTAAAAATTCCATTGGGCGGCAGTGGCTCATGCCTATAATCCCAGCACTTTGGGTGGATGAGACACGCAAGAATTGCTTGAGCCTAGGAGTGGGAGACCAGTCTGGGCAATATAGTGAGACCCCGATTCTGAAAAAAATTTAATAAAAAATATCAACTGGGGGTGGCAATACACGCCTGTAGTCTTAGCTACTCAGGAGGCTGAGGAGGGAGGATCATTTGAGCCCAGAATTTCGAGGTGAGCTGTGATCATGCCACTGTACTCCAGCCAGGACAATTGAGTGAGACTCTATCTCTAGAAATAGAAAGTAAAAAAAAAAAAAAAGAATATTCTATCAATGTATTATGGAAGAGATATCCAATAAGAGTTTGAGACTTTGGGATCCCATGGCTCTGGAGGGGACCTCCCCCCCTACTCCATTACTTGTATCTAATTATCAATACAATAATCTGCCCTTTTGGTCCATGGTTCAGGTTCTTGTACCTGCAAACACAATGGCAGGGAAGCATTTTCTTATTAGTGCTGTGTTTCCCAAGCTGGCTCTGCAGACACACTACAGGGGTCCACAGGCCCTCTGTTTTGAGAAATACTCTTTTGGTCTAAGATTAGCTGCTGGTGGGTCACAAAGAGCTGTAACTCTGGAGAGCTGTGGCTGGCAGATGTCTGCCTTACCCACAGGAAGGGAATGTGGAGTCAGTGCTGGGGTTTGGAGGAGTAGCAATGGCCAGACTGGAGGACTTGGTTCTCTGGAGGGTTCCAGGGTTCAGAAGCATCTCTAAGAAATAGTGCCACAACCTTCTAACTGCTGCATGGTTCAAGTTCACTTTATGGACATACCAATGCTATGGAAATATATATCCCTATCTATCTCATCAAATATACATAAAATATGAGCACATATGCAAGCATATATATATATATGCTTATATACATACACACAATATGTGAATATGTACAGATGGGTGAATTTAATATGTGAAGCAAGAATTCTCCACCTGTGCAGAACACTTTTAACTTTTCAAAGCATGGTGACATTTGGCAACATATCTGGTCTCCCCAGTGACACACTATGAGTGGGTAGAGAAGAAACTTATCCTCAGTCGACAGATGAGGAAACTGAGGCTGGAGAGTTGCCCAAGAACACAAAGATAGCTAAGGGCGGTGTCTGGACAAAAAACCATGTTTTTATGACTCCCTGTTCATAAGCCCTCCTCTTTTGACCTACAATTTCCTCCTCTCCTCTTTTCCAGCAGCCCTTCAAAGGTGACTATTTGAACCCCCAAAGCATCCCTCCAAAGTGATCTGCTGAAAGAATGCTGCTGGCTACTTTGAAGCTTATGCATTCTGACAGGGACAGAAAGAACTGCAAAATAAAAGTATAGCTCCTTCCTTTTGTTACAAACTTCAAAGCCTTCCTTGGTCCCTAACTCTATAATTATACCCTAATCACAAACACTTTGAAGGAGGGGGTCAGTTCCAAGAAGCAGCAGGCTAATTATGTGGCAGAATTTCTAAACATTATCATCTTATAAATTGCATTATTCCTCTGAAGGAGGAAGAAAACATACCACATACTTGACTATGTTTCAAACTGAATTAATTAGTAATTTGAAGCCTAATTATCAACTAATCTATTGGAACATGCAAGTCTTTTGTATTTGGATGGTATATGCAATTTGCATCCTATTAGCTGTCAGTTGTAAGGATTTGAGAGCTCATTAGGTCAGAAGAAGAAAAATGCAGATCAGAAGGATAGAGCAGCCCAGGAGGCTAACTTGGTGAGGCAGTGACTGAGGGGTCACTGGGCAACAGATGAAGGCTGGCGATGTAATTACCTGGGGTCTTTTAGTGGCTCCAAGGCCACTGGTATGTAATTTCTGTTTCATCCCAGAGAGGTAATTATGCTTGTCCCCACCCTTGTTCTGTGCATTCTCAAGCAGCAGGCACCCACAGGTCTCACTGAGAAATACCTAGGAGTCGTAGAAAAGACACTGGGTGCTTCCTGCTAACCTTGGGAATAGGCTTGGCTCTGGGGCTGCCTCACTGTGTGACCCTGGCCAAGTCACACCCCTTTGCTGGTTGTTTCTCTGCAAGCAAATGAGATTTAGATGGAGTAGACTTCCAAAGTCCCTTCTTGCTGTAAGGGACTCGAGGGATGTCAAGGGCTTTCCTCACTCCAAAGTAAAGGAGTACATCCTTTGGTTCTCCTAAAGACTCTGGACAGCCACCACTCATGTAAAACGCACATACCTCTGAAAAAAGTAACATATTCAGCCATTAACAGCTGGGTCTAAATTAACCAATCACCAGGCCTTTCTTATTTTCAGTTCTGACTCTGAAACATTGGGACAGTCAAAGCAAGAGAGTTTTGAAGAGAAAAGAAGGGCCAGGCCAAAACCTATCTAAGGCTGGAGATCAGGCCAGAAAGAGGGATAGAATTTACAGATTTGGTAGGATGCTCTGGTCATATTTTTAGAATCATGCACCCTGTGCCTCAGTTCTACTAATGACCTTTATTTCAGAAATAAATAGAAAATATCAATCTTTTGTTCACTTAATAGTTAATATCACACATAGGAGTACTCAACACAAAATAACATGGCTGCATGGGTTTTATGTTCAGTTAGGCAAGTTTAAAACAGAAAAATTTTTAGCTAAAAAGCTAAAAAAAAATTTTTGTTTTTGAGTTGGGGTCTTACTCTGTTGCCCAGGTTGAAGCAGAGCGGTACAATCACAGCTCACCACAGCCTTGATACAAATCTAGGAAAATTCAAAGACAGGCCAGGACAATTAGTAAACTTTGTTGAAAAAGTTATCAGGAAGAGAAGCTGACAATCGTTAAAACTGTCACCTGGCCAAATTTATTGATTAACATTTTATGGCAGATGTTGCCGCTTTGGAAAATGATTTTGGAGTTCCTCAAAATGTCAAACGGAGTGACCACATAACCCAGAAATTCCCACATCTAGGTATATAATCAAGAGAAAAACTTGTATATAAGTCTTTATAACAGCCTGATTCATAATAGCCAAAAGGTAGAAACAACCCAATGCCCATCAACCGACGAGTGGATAAGCAAAATGCGGTGTATCCATATGATGGAATATCACTTGGCAATAAAAAGGAATAAAGCATGGTATGTGATACAACAGGGGTGAACTTTCAAAACATTATGCTACATGGAAGAAGCCAGTAACAAAGGATCACACTTTTTGATTCCATGTATATAAAACACCCCAAATAAACAAATACATACAGATAGAAAGTAGATTAATGGTTGTCTAAAGCTGGGGGAGCTTGGAGGATGACAAGAAGTGACTACTCACACGTAAGGGATTTCTTGTAGAGATGATGAAACATTTTAAGATAAGATTGTGGTGATGGCTTTATAACACTGTGAATATACTAAACATCATTTAATTATATACTTTGAATGGGTGAATTGTATGCTTTGTAAATTACATCTCAATAAAGTCTTCAAAAGTGGAACTAAACACAAAATAAAATTGCATTTGGCTTTGGAAAAAACATCTGGAAGAATTAAGCTCCATGATAAAAAAGACAGATGTGCAAAACATGGCCCCCCAAAATAGACTTGACAGGAATAATGTTCACAAAAGAAAATTCATTATAGCACATGCTACTAGGTAAAATATAATATGTAAAAATATGATTTGATAAATCCAGTCTACTTTGTACTATTAAAAATGAACATTAGTACGTTAAAAAGAAGATACATTTAAAAAACAAAGTCAGCCTTGTCTATGCCATACAGAAAAGTGAATAAAAATAAATTGACATAATATTGTTCATGCCGGAAAATTGTTTCTGTTTTAAAATATGTCAGTAGCAGCATAATCATGACTTAAATGTTTGTATTTATAAACAGTTAAACTATCACTGGGGTCAAAATAGAGAGCTAAGACCAGTGGGATTGAGACATCTTATATTCATTCAAAGATGTGGATTTTTGTCCTTATTGCCAATGGGCACATCCAATTAAAGCTAAAATTGTGATGACTTGCTAAGGTCCTTCCCACCAGCATACTCTCTTCCAAGCAGGGTGAGATGAACAGTGTGGTTTAATGAGTGGGATGTAGAAGGAAAAGGTAAATTTAGTATTGCCAAGACTCAGTATTGCAGCCCTGAACTGCCCCTTCTGCCCCTTCAGTTTACACCAACCAGGGACCACAGAAGCAAGTACAGGCCCCAAACCCAGAAAGACCCCCAATTGAGAGCCCGCAGTGTTCTACTCACCAGATTTGCAAGGATGTAGTGGTAACCAATGCCATTCTTCTCCAGCTTTATAATCTACAAAACACAGTGAGATAGATGTGTAAAACTCATCAATTATACTAACAGTCAAAGCTACAACAATAACAGTAATAATTGTAACTGACATTGAGTACTTAACAGCATGCCCTAGCCCATACTAGGTGCTCAAACTACAATATCCCAACCACTCAATCATGGTGGCAGTGAGTACCCTTATTTTACAAAAGGGAAATAGACATAGAATAGTTAAATAACCTCAGGTTTATCTGTTCCGAGCCCTCACTGTACAGATGGGAAGTTGAGGCCCAAAGAAGGGAAGTGATTTGCCCAGATCTTATAATAGTCTGATGGCAGTAGCAGAAAGGGACCTGAGTCTTATGAAGCTTTTCATATGATGACTGGTTACCTGGCTATTTAGTAGCAGATACAGTACTTGAGTGGTTTTTAACATAACCTTAAGGACATAACTTGAAATGCTCACTGCACTCTTTTATCCATAAAGCCTCCCTTGTACATGGAGATTCCTCCCTAGGTGTGAATGCTGTATTTCACGGAATCCCCTCACCATCATGACAATATCTGCTGCTTGGATGGACAGATAATTAGAAGGGTGGACAGATGGTCAGATGGGTAGGTGGATGACTCCATCCCAGTTCTTGACCTTCAACTCCTCACATTAGCCATATGCAGGTGCTGCTCTTTCTTTCCCTGACTTTTGTGTCTTTTCCCCTAAGCCAGCTGGGTACTCAGACATTACTGGATCACTCAACTCAGAAGCTGGAAGGGAAGGTCAGGTTTATCTGTTCCAAACCCTCACTGTACAGATGGGAAGTTGAGGCCTAAAGCGGGGAAATGATTTGCTCAGATCCCATAATAGTCTGGTGGCAGTAGCAGACACGGACCTGGGTCTTGTGAATCTTTTCATGTGATGACTGCTTATGACTAAATACTAAGAGCCAGGGTCCGTAAACACTCTTCCATCCTGAACACAGTCTGTCCCTCATCACAGGCAGGAAAATTATTTGTGAAAAGAATCGCCTAGAGGTTTGCCTGGGCAGCCAGACACACCACCTAATAAGAAATAGTTATGACTATAGACCTTGGTCCTAGATCTAGCTCAACCTGAAAATTAACTCGATCTATTTTATTTTCTTTTAGATCATCAAATTTGGGTTAGTACACCCTGCTTGGTGCCTCTCCCTCCACACTGTTGCAAGGAGACATATTACAAATGAGAAGCACTTGGGCTTCTTCTCTAACTGAATAAAATTTCAAGGTATTAAAAACCACATTCAGACATCCACTTAATTGGATGTGTGTGCATAGTGCCTCACATTTTTTAAATGTGGGGAATAATTAAATGCAAGCACACACAAAGAATGTTCTGAAACACTGGTCAGATTGTGAAATTCCAGACTACAGATCTCAGATACTATTGGGATGATAGTTTTATGAATAATTTCTCATTACTTTCTCCTCTACTTGTTTGGTGCCCTTTTCAACAATGAGATACCTTTATCAAAAACCTATACAACTAGCCGGGCTTGGTGGCTCAGCCTGTAATCCCAGCGCTTTGGGAGGCTGAGGTGAGTGGATTGCCTGAGCCCGTGGGTTCGAGACCCGCCTGAGCAACTTGGCGAGACCTCATCTCTACAATAAATCAAAAAATTAGCCGGGCATGGTAGCACGCACCTGTAATTCCAGCTACTTGGAAGGCTGTGGCGGAAGGATTGCCGGAGCCCAGCAGGTCGAGGCTGCGGTGGCCGGGAGCGGCCACTGCACTCCAGTCTGGGTGACGGAGTGAGACTCCAACTCAAAAATAAATAAGTAAAAAACAAAACAAAACAAAACAACAACAACAAAAAACCCCTATACAACTTATGGCTGGGCACAGTGGCTCATGCCTATAACTCCAGCACTTTGAGAGGTGAAGGCAAGAGGATTGCATGTGCCTAGGGGTTCGAGACCAGCCTGGGCAACTTGGTGAGACTTCATCTCTAAAAAAAAGAAAAGAAAAAAAAAAAACCTATACAGCTTATAATAAACACAAAACAGCAAATAAAAGATATTTCAAAACTCACCACATTTGGGCAATAGAGAAATGTAGTCCTTGCAAGATGAGAGTACAGATTGAAACACAGGGAACCGCTGATAATTGATGACTTTTGACTGATAAAAATTAGCAATTTTCTATGGTCCAAACCTAATACCAACCTTCCCATCCATCTGCTCACCCACCTAGACAGTGACCTACTTTCCCTCCTTTATGATCTTCCTTTCATAAATATTTATTTACTTATTAAGTGCTTGCTATAAATGAACCTGGCTTGCAAGGCAGTGAAACATGAAACAGACATAGTGCCTGTTCTCCTGTAGGTTTCACTTTCCTGGGAGGAAATTCCTAATAAATAGGCAAAATGACACACGCACGTAGGTTACACACTAAGAAAGGTGTTACACAAGCAGGATACAATTCCACATGGGGTCCATCACCTCACAGACCTCATTCCCTCAAAGCTCACGCCCTCTGTATCACTCTTATTCACAATCTGTGCATCTGAGTAGCCTCTTTCATCCTGTCTGATTATTCATATCCTTTATGGCTGAGCTCTAATCTCAACTCCTCTGTAAAGCCTCCTCTGGTTAATCAATCCATTCAACAACAAATATTTAGTGAACATGGACTATATGCCAAGTGCTATGCTGTGTTGTTGGGGATACAGCTATGAGCAAGGGAGGCAAGGTCCCTGTGCCCTCATTGAGCTGATCTGACATTTGAGTAGGGAGCAGATGGTAAACATTCATTTCTACAATGAACAAGATTTCAGCAGGTGAGAAGGACCATGAAGACAGCAACATGGGTGATGTGATGGATGGCATCAAGGGGTCCTGCTCTACTCTTGCTTCTAACTCAAGCTGTATTCAATGACTGTGTTATAAAAATGGTGCCTTATATATTGATAAAGCATTATATTCTAATAGCCCTATTCCCTGCTCACAAACCTTCACAGACTTCCCATTGTTTACAGAGTAAACCCAAACTCTTTTGAATGGCTGCCAAGGACATTCGTGATTGTGTGTCCATCACCCTGCTATCCTCTCCAGCAGACACTCAGCATCCTCCACTAAGCCTGTGAAGCCATTCTGTGCACTTTAGCCCTTACATGCCCTCTGGGCTTCCCAACATGCCCTTCCCTCCAGCTTAAAGGCTCTTATCTAGTCAATGGCTTCCTGGAGAAATCCAGATACAGGAACTCACATACAGAAATCTTACATTCAGGAACTTTCTTAGACCCTTCATTGATTTCTTATTCTATAAGTAACTCAGACAAAATGTATTGAATACTTTCAAGGTAGTAAACTCTGTTCAAGGCATTTTGGATACTGTAGGGAAGAAAACAAAACAGAAATCCCTGGCCTCACAGAGTTTGGATTCTAGTTAGAGGGCTGGAGACAGAGGCAGCTGTTAGTATTCTATTTGGAATTTGGAGTCACTGTCTCCTTCCTCAGGTTTAGGCAGAACATTTTGTATTAGACTGAAAAGATCCCTATTACTGAGTGTTAGATAGTCCAGGATGATGCCAACGGTGTCAGAAGTTAAGTCAGAGACGAAAGTTGCAGTCTTATCACTGCCACTAACTAGCTGTCTGAGCCCAAGGCAAATCATTCAATCACTTTGTCAGTCATTCTATCTGTGAAATGCAAGCATAAGGAGTAAATCAAATGATTTGTAAGATCCTTCCAACTCTTGGGGCTTAGTTTTCAGGATAGAAGAACAGAAAAATTTAAAAATAATGTTTATATGCCACAATCTAAACTATCCATACAAACAAGTCCCTTCCTTATAAAACACAAGTTTATCCTTTGACAAAGGAGTTAGTTATAGACATCCGAGGCAGTGAAGTTGCATTTTTAGGAGATTGGGCCCAGTAGCCAGATCAAGCTAGGTGTGACTTCCTATTTTTCTCATATACTGGCTGTGAGAACTTGGACAAGTGTAATCTCTCTTTTCTTTATCTATAAAGTAGGGGAATTGTAGAAGCTGTTTTATAGATTTGATATGAGAATGAAATGGAATTATGCATGGGAAGGTTTGGGATAGTGTCTGGTATACCATAAGCACTCAAAAAACAGTAGCAAGGGCTACTGTCTGTACAATAGAACAATATAGAACAGTCCATCAGTCTACTAAGAATACCTCATTATCATTCAGTACTTTCTGCATCTCCTACCTCATCTCATTTTTTTATTAGTTCTGTGGAACAGAGGTCTTCATTCCTATTTTACAGATGAATTCATTTATACCCAGAGAGGGAAGTGACTCAAGAAGCTAGCACTAATAGTCACTATGAACAACAAAAATAGGCAAATGCTTACATGTATCACTTACTGTGAGGCAGGCTCTGTTCTAAGTGCCTTACGTGTACTGATTCTTTTAATCTTGGCAAGAGATTTCTAAAGGTGGCTATTATTACTATGCCCATTTTATAGGTCAGGAACTTGAGATGTAGAAAGATTAAAACCCTGGTCATGGGTCCCAAAACTAGTAAATACTAGAGCTGGGATTTGAACCCTAGCCAACCTGGTTCAATCTCTGCTCTCAACCATGACCCTATACTGCCTCACTTGAAAACCAGAATTCAAATATCAGAGAATTGCCACCTCAATGGAAACAAAATTTGTAGATTTCTCTTTCAAAGAGTGAAGGCTGAATCCACACTTTATAAAATAGAGCGGTTAATGCCTTAAAGAATCTTTGAATTTCAAACTCTTTTCTTGTTTTGTTGTTGAGGCCTTTGAGTGATTGCTGAGCTGGTGCTGAGACTGTCTGTGAGCATCCCAGAGGTCTTGGGGGCCATTAACAAACTTTGTCATGCTGTCAAGTACCTAAAACTACCATCTTTTAATAAATGGCACCATTCAAAAGTGAACACAAACTCTACTTCCTTGCTAGCTCATCTGAATACATGAATACAGTTGAAAAAGGCAAGAGATATGCACAAAATCCTGCTAATTCTATGGTGGACACATACTTAGGCTCCATTATTTGTACTAGTTCATAAAATTTCAGAATTAAGTGTTATGAATTATAGAAAATAAGATACAAAACATATGATCTCATCTAGTCAAGAACACTTTTTTCCTTTTTTTTTTTTTTTTTTAACAGACAGGGCCACGCTCTGTCATCTAGGCTGGAGTACAGTGATGTGATCAAAGCCCATTGGAGCCTTCGCCTCCTGGGTTCAAGTGATCCTGCTGCCTCAGTCTCCCAAGTAACTGGGACTATAGGCATGTACCACCTTGCTAAGCTAATTTTTAAATTTTTATTAGAGATGGGGTCTCCCTGTGTTGTCCAGGCTAGTCTCAATTTCATGGTCTACAGTGACCATCCTACCTTGACCTCCCAAAGTGCTGGGATTACAGGTGTTGAGCCATCATGCCTGGTCTATAACCCTATTTATAACATCCAAGGCAAAAGTGCATCCAGCTGTTTCTGAATCCTCTTCCACACCCACCCTAAGCCCTTGCTGCCTTCACTACCTGGCCCAGGATAGCATTGAGGCGCTCCGATTCACAGTCAACCACCACCAGCCGCTCCTTTTTCTTCTCCAGGTCCTGAAAGAGCATCCGGTATCCCTCCTCCGTGGTTGTCAAAATGTTGACTGCTGTCACCTGCCAGTTCTTTTCAGCAGCTGTGTCCAGGACTTTCTGCAGGACGGACAAGCCTGAAAGTGGGATGAGTAGGATAGGGAAAAGTCAGACACTCAGAATCTGCAGCTATTACCCCTTTCCTTCATGTAACCCTTGCCTTTCTACCCCCAGCCCTGCTCCTCCACCAAGCTCAGCTCCAGTTTTCTCTGGGTGTACAAGTCTGAACTCCATGATGTCACTCACTGTGTTGTTGTTCCCCAGAACACAGTAGATGGTAGAATTAGTGATAAAAAACACAATCTGAGGCTCAAATCTACCATGACTGTCTAAATAGCCCTGTGCAAGCTTATTAGTCTCCCCAAACTTTATTTCTTCAAAGGTGAAGTGGCAATGTAAATCATGCCATCGTCATGAGAATTAAATAAGAATGTCTGATATATGGCAGAGTCTGATACCTGCAAAAGTTTTGTAAATGTTAGCTGCTATTATTGGGCAATCAGTAACTGCTTACTAAATGCGCTAATCTGGCATCAAAATAGACACGTAATAACTGTTGATCAAATCTGTAAAGTTCCATATCATATCCTTAACACCTAATGTTTTGTCTCTCACACAGTAGGTGTTCTATACCTGTGTCCCAAGTTAAACTACTCTCTTCTGATTTACAGCTAAATGAGTGGAGTCCATTACTCAATACTGCTTTGTTTCTTCTTTGAGACTGAAATGGTATATCCATTTCCTATTGCTGCTATAATAAATTACCACAAACTTAGCGGCTTAAAACAACACTTCTGGAGGACAGATGCCCCTTGAGATAGGTCTCCCCAGGCTAATACCAAAGTATGTTGGCAGGATTGTGTTAGCTTCTGGAGGCTCTAAGGGCAAGTAAATTTTCTCATCTTTCTAGCCTCCAGAGTGGTCTGCATTCCTTGACATACGGTTCCTTCCAGCTTCAAGGTCAGCAATGGGAATAGTGTCTTTCTCACACTGCATTATTCTGACACTGACTCATCTGGCTCCAACTTCCACACTTTAGGACCCTTGTGATGATACTGTGTCCACCTAAGTAACCCAGGAGAATCTCCCTAGTTAAGGTCAGTTGATTAGCAACCGCAATTTCACCCGTAGCCTTGATTTTCCTTTGCCACGTAACATTGACATAGTCACAGGTTCCAGGGATGACAACATGGGCATCTTTGGGGCAGCCTTCATTATTCTGCCTATCACAGACAGTTACTTCACTCTTGCATTATTCATCAATCATGAATGTATATCATTTCTGACTTCTAGTAACACTACTGACCCCTTCTATAGTGATCAATATAGTACTTATCCTCAGGAATCATCTACAGATTGATTGTGTTATACTTTCCTATCTTTGTTTCTTTTTCAGTACAAGTTTTTTTTGTGTTTGAACCTCACATCAACTGAAAATTTACTGTGTGTCTGGCATGGCCATGCCAGATTTCTTCTCTTTAATTTATTTAATTTTGTGAGATAGGGACTATTATTATCCCTATTTTATAGATATGGAAATTGAGGCTCAGATTTAGTCACCAGTCCAAAGCCACACAGCTAGCAAATAGGAGAGTTCCAAGCTCTGAAGTCTAAAGTAGGTGGACCCCTTTTGTGAGTGCAGGTGCTTCTGCAGCCCCAGAGATGATCCCCAGCAAGCCAGGGTGCATTTTTCTGACTTTATCACTCCCAGGCCTGAAGCTTTACTATGATGCAAAGTTGTCCTGAAACAATGGTGATCCCAACCAGGTGATCCCAATGATGGCTGCTATCTGAGAGGAGGTATATCATCCACATAGTGAGAGGGAAGAAAAAAATCAAGGAAAATAGAATGTTTCTGGTTTCTCCTGTTGGCTCCTTCCCATATGAGTAACATCTGCCCTACTGCCTAAAACACCACTTTCACAAAACCACTTTTCTACTCAGGAGTCTTCTAGGACTCCCTGAGGCAAACATATCAGTGAGACACTCTTTGCCTCACCTTCTGACCCTTGCATGACCATTTATTTATTTACACCAATAATGGCTAACTTCTTACAGGATTATTTAGCGTATAATGGGAAGGCATGATAGTACAAGGCAGACAAGAGTTGGAAAAAAGGAGAGAGCTCCCAGCCAGAGGATTAGAGAATAGAGACAGTAGCATTTGAGCAGGCTGCAAAAGAGGGGAAGGATTTACATATGTGGATTGGAGAAGGGAAGTGTATTCCAGAAAACTGGACTAGCATGAACAAAGATATAGAGCAGAAAAAAGTATAGGGAGCATTTGTAAGATGTGATGTTGAATTAAAAGGTGGGAGAATTAGAAAGCCCGGAAAGGGATGGTGGTGATGATGATATCTAACATATGGAGAATTTTGAGTTTTTACTATGTTACAGGCACAGAATGTTTTGTTGACACTATATAATTCAGTCTTCCCAACACTTTTATGAGATAGAAACTGATTCTATCTTCATTGTAGAGATGTGGAAATGAAGGCATGAAAAATATTATCCCCATTATATAAGTGCTGAAACTAAGGCAGAGAGCACTTGGGCAAAGTCAAACAACTGGAGAAAAGAGAACCTGGGCTTCAAATCCAGATCTGTCTGACTCCCAAGTCTATGCTTCTAACAACCATGCTATGAGCTGTAAGCCATGCAGTTGAGACCTTTGTTCTTGAGTCTGGACTTGGGAGCCATGGAAGCTTGGTGAGCTGTAGAATGCCACAGTGCATTAAGAGGATTACTCTCTCGGAAGGTGTGTTTCCAGATTTTGAATTGAAGATTAGCCCCTGAGAAATCAGTCCATGGAAATAAAGCATTTGGATCATGTCTTCATGTGTTTAAGGAGGCAGCGAGACATCATGCTCCTTCCTGTTGGCAGTTTTCTCTCCATCCCTCAATAGTCTCCCTCCCTAACCCTTGACTTACCCCGGTCGGCATCGTAAATGTAGACAAATTTCTGCCACTTGTAATGGTCAATGATGCTGATGAGGGCATCCTGCAGTTCAGGGCGCAGCTGAAGGACAAACTGATTGGATGTGTCAACGGGAAAGCTCGGTGTAATGAAGCAGACATGGAGGGCTCCACAGAAGGAGGTCAGCATGTTGACAGTCCTACGTTCATAAAACCCAAAGATGGCATAGACTCCTTTGGAGAACTGGGAACAGACTAGAAGAGGAGAAGAAAAGAATTAATAAATAGAGGATGCTTCAAACAGGCTGTCAGCTCCAGAGTGAGTCCATCTATCCAACCCATCACCTATCCATCCATCTAGCATCTAGGCATCCACCTATCAAAGCAACCAATCCATCCATCCATCCATCCATCCATCCATCCATCCATCCATCCATCCATCCATCCACCCATCCATCCATCCATCCATCCATCCACCCATCTATCCAACTGTCCATCCATCCGATCCATCTATCCATCCCATTCACACATTCATCTGTCTAATACCTCACCCATCTGTCTAAATCAAATATTAGGTGCCTATTACATGCAGATGTTACCATGGTTTTATTAATTATAGTAGCCACGTATTTTCTTCTATTACCTCACTTTGTCTTTACAATAACCCTGTTAAGGTATAAGGAAAGGATGACTGGGTCATCTTTTAAGGGGAAAAACCAAGGCTTAGAAAGTTAATGAACATGTTCAAGGTAGCACAGCTAGAACATATTGAAGTTGGGCAGATATACTGACTCTTAATCTAGTGATCTCTCCATCACACTGTCTGTCGCTTCAAGGCAAAGCAAAAGATGCTACAGGGAAGGCTATCTTCCAGTTATTGCTGTTGATAAATGTGTAAGAAAATAAATGCTGATTTTTCCCAGCCTAGCCCTCAGCTCTCAGTGTATGTTTCTCTGCTGATATTCATTTTATGTTATACATCCTGTGGCTGATTTTCAGGCCCCCAGTGTCCCAGCCACGGTAATAGCTTAGCTGTGGGAACATCCTCACAGGATCCATTTTGTAGGATCCCAGTGCAGTTACCAGACTGATTACACTGCAGGGTAGAGTATGATGCTAATAAGACCATGATCATGGGATTAAACACCAGGTCAGCCATCTCCTAAACTTTGTTTTACTATATGGCACAGGAGGAGAGTTCATAGTTTTTGCCCCTAGTCAGGGGATCAAGCCCAAGGCCATCCTCAATACTGGAAAATTACCCTCCCAATGTGGATGGTGAGGAAAGTCAGTCATTCTCATCATAAAAACAGTATTTTAGAGTATTCTGCAGTCCTTTCAGGTGTATTAGGATATTAAGTCCTCATCACAACCCTGTGACTTAGATATTATTATTTTTTTCCTTTTAAGATAAAAATGATGATACTCTTAGACCTTCTGATCTTTTTACCATATCACCTGCTTTCATAACCCAAGTTGCCTTTGTATATGGGGGTCTCAAATTGTGATATGTAAGCACAGCCCAGATGTGTTCCATAAAACATTAGTCCCACAGGATGTTCCTTAAACAAGACAAATCTTCTTTGATCAAATAAATTTGGGAAAAGGGGCATACTCTGCCCTTGTCTTGGAGTTTCATACTGCACATTAGCTACATAATAGATTGTGAGGATTTCTGTTCAACTTTGACACAGATTTTGTCAAATCTATTTGCCCCTTGGAAACTTTTTGGTGAGTACCTTTAACATGTTATTGAAAACCCTTTGGACCTTGCTGCATTAGAGAATGCAATTACCCACTGTTACCCAGTTGTCTATTGTGAGACTCAGTTCTCCATCAGTCCCCAGAGATAATAGATTTGAAATATCATCATCTCTTAAAGATTGCAACTGAACCACGTAAGTCATTTGTCCAACCCCACTGAAAACCAGCATATTATCTACAGGAAAGCTGGCTGGTGATCACTGATCATTAACATCTGCTTATATACTTCTAGTCACTGAGTACTCACTACCTCTCAAGGTGCTCAAGTCACTGACTGACTGTTTTTTGAACCTAGAACCTCATGGAATTCCTGCTCTTAACCTATTCCACAGCTCTCTTGGTATCTGAAGGTGGTGCTCATGGCCTAGAGCTTTATGGCATTTGGTTTTCAGTGACAAAATCTATCTTCTACCCAGAAGCCACAGAGATCTTATTAAACAAACAAAACACATTATTCCCCTTTATTGTGTAAGATCTCTCAAAGTTTCCCACTACAGACAGGAAAATTCCCCTAACATCTGACAATGACACAGAGCCTGAATAGCCTGCCCCTCTGACCTCACCTACCTGACATCCTCTTCTTTTCACTTCCCACTCTAGCCACAATGGCCTTTGCTCTGTTTCTCAGGGATCCAAGTTCATTCTGTCTGGGCAACTCTGCACTAGCTGGTCACTTCCTGCCTGCAACATTCTTCCCTTATCTCTTTGCAAAGGTCATCCCATTTCAGTTGCTGTGTCTCAGCTCAAAGCTCACCTCCTTGAATGAAACTTCCTTCACCAAGTCTTCTAAATAGTGGCCCAACCTCCTTCTCTTCACCTCTCATCACTCTCTATCACATCACCCTGCCTTATTTCCCCGCACTTTTATCATTTTATCTGAACTAATATTTTTGGCTGAGTGTGGTAGCTTGTGCCTGTAATCCCAGCACTTTGGGAGGGAGGCTTGAGGCAGGAGGATCGCTTGAGGTCAGGAGTTTAAGACCAGCCTAGAAAATAAAGTGAGCCCCTATCACTACAAAAAACAAAATAAAATTAGTTGGGTATGGTGGTGTAATCCCATCTACACAAAAGGTTAAAGTGGGAGGATCACTTAAGCCTAGGAGTTTGAAGCTACAGTGAGCTGCGATCATACTACTTTACTCCTTCCTGAATGACAGAGTGACAGCCTGTTTCTAAAATTTGAATAAATAAGTAAATAAAATGAAATGATATTTCTGGGGTTTTTTTGGTATATATTTGTGGTTGCTTGAGTCAATGTAATTTCCCTGAAAATAAGGGGTCTCATTTGTGCCCTAGCAGGATGTCTGGGATAGGGTAGGTGCTTAGTAAGTATTTGATGAGTGAGTGAGTGAACAATTGAATGAATGAATGACTAGCTCTGGATGAGGGGGGTCACATGACCCACAGTATGTGCTGAGGAGGAGTTGGACCCACACTATTTTCTCTTTCACCCTAATGAGGACACTCTATCCGTCCACAGTCCATAATAGGCACTGTCTTTAAATGTCTATTGTAATTACTAGAATCAAGATTTCCATAAATATGATTTCTCTACCAGGAAGCATACATCATGTATTATTCTCCTCATGTTAAATATAGATTTGTCAAAATGTACAATCCATCTTTCAGGGTGAAATGTATATGGGGAGCACATAAACTCCATTAAAATATTATAATATGCTCTCACAGTATTTTTAGGATGTCGTCTTTCCCTGTGCTGCAAGGAAATATTATTTTGTAGGATATAAATCTTATGTTCAAGATCTATTCCCTCATGTCATCTACTTGATTTGGTCCTCTGGGGCCCTCATGGATGGACTTTAGAAGTGAAGAAATAAAGGTGGGACAAGGTGAAAGAAATGGAAGCAGGTGGACAGAACAAATTCTTAGACTCACAAGAGGCCAGGGTTTTTCCTCCTCAAATTACCTCCCTGTTTTTCCCCTCTGAAAATCTCTCTTTCTTTAAATTGAGTGCTTTATCCTCTAAGGCTATGAGGGTACATTTTCCTACTACTCCTTAACAGAACATGGTTTGGAGGTAGCCTGGCCTGGCTTTACTTGGGAGGGTCCTGGCTCTCAGAGTTGTTCAGCCTCTGACCATCAAGCTGTCTCCACATTCAGTCAAACCCAAACAATGACAGAATGATAGGGAGGGAGGGAGGGAAGTAGGGAGGGAGAGAGAGAGAGAGAGAGAGAGAGAAATGAAAAAAATATATATGATTAATAGTTTCCAGGCCTTATAACTACTCTGAACTTGTCATAATAGATACTTACTAGAAGAGATAACATGGTCCTGTAGAAAAAGTATTAGACTAGATGCCAGAAGACCTGGAGGTTTCTCTTTTTGTATTGATCACTACAGAGTTCTTGCATGGCCGTAAGTAAATCCTACAGTTTTTTGGGTCTCAGTTTTCCCGTCTGTAAAATGATGGTTTAAACTTTGTAAAATTTAACACCTCTTCAGGATCTGGCATTCTAGACTCTTGTCTGATTGATTATAACATGTTTACTGATTCAACAACACTTTCATTATTTTCTAGTCAAACCTAGCAAACTCCAGGGCACTTTTTCAAACTCAGAGGGCGGGTAAGGCTCTCTGAGTTCTTGGATTTATTGCAACAGAATCCTAGCACTATACCTAGGCGCATTTGGAGTCTTGGGTTTTATTTAAGACACAATTTTTAACCCGCCACTCAGAATTGGTTACCCAGTGGAGTAGATTAGAGGAGGCAGACAGAAAGGGAGCTAGAGATGAGACTGTATCGTTAGATATGACAAGCAGTGGGAGAGACAGGGTATTTGAAAGCAAAATCAGAACTCTGTGTGTACTGGTCTACACACAGACGCCGCCACACTGATGTAGAGTCAGGATCATGTGCAGTATCTTCTATTCAGAGAGCACTGGCATACACTATGCTTTCTGATGTTAAGAACTAAGAGCTGACATTTGAGCACTTACCAAGTACCCAAGTACCAGACACTGTGCAAGTACCTGTCTTTGCATGAACTCCTTTCATTCCCTGAGATGGGTTATAAACTGAGTAAGTGAGGCCCAGAACCAGCATAAGGCCACGCCAAGATATGAACTCTACCAATCTGACCACAGGCGTGTGCACTTAAGGTCTGTGATACACCATGGATGTTGAAAATGTCTTGGTACATGAATCAGCTTCAGTTTCTGAAAATCTGTAGCATCTCCTGATACCTGATAAAGAGGCAATACTACATCAGGGTGTATTGATAGATAAAAAACAAAACTGGGTGGTATGCTTGATGTATCCCTCTCTTATCCCTGGAAAGAGCATATATACATACATCTATTCTTCTATTTATCCATCTATCTTTCCATCTGCCCACCATTTGATACCCAGCATCTGAAATTCCTGAGACCACGTTAGGCAATGGACATACAATGGTAAACCAGGCAATCTCCAACCACAAGGACTGTCACTTTGAAGTAGGAAAGACTGACAATGAACTAGGCTATAGCA